TGTTCTCTCTCTCTCAAATAAATAAATAAAATCTTTTTTTTTTTAAAAAGAATAAAGCAGCTCTTTGTGGATGCATATGAAATGATACATAAGATGCAATAAGTGAGAAAAAGCAAGTTGCAGAACAATGTGGAATATGCTACTATTTACAAGAAAGAACAGATACTGTTTGCTTGTACATATATAGAATATGTCTGGAAGGATGCACAACAAAGTTGTGGCCTCTGAGATGGGCCAAGGATGGTCAAAAGTTTTAGGGAGATATTTCGCTGCCTGTCACTGCCATACATTTTAAATTATGTACCAGATGAACGTACCTGCCCCAAAACCATTTTTAAGTAAAAAAAAATTTTTTTAAAGGAACGGATGGTTCATTTGTTATTTCTCAAAAAATGACTTTAGTTGTACGATGCTTTCTAACAGCCCTCAATTACTTTGTTCAGGAGGTTGTAGCCACTGTAAGGGAGCAGAATTTGCCACCCAAAATGTGCCTCTTTGGCATATGTATTATTTTAGGCTGATTATTTTTAAGGAACAGCAGGCTCAGGAATAACTGCTGACCTTCCCCCAACTACCTAAAAGAATTTAGAGAACCTGCTCCAGGAAGAAAGCTGTCACCACAGACAGCTATTCAACTATGGTTGTATTTCTACACGCTAATAATGAGCCTTCAGAAAAAGAAATTAAGAAAACAATCCCATTTACACCTGCATCAAAAAGAATAAAATATCTTTTTATTTATTATAAAATAAAATTTAACTAAACAGGTGAAAGACCTGTACTCTGAAGACTGTAGGACATGGATGAAAGAAACTGAAGATACAAACAAATGGGAAGATATATTCTGCTCATGGACTGGCAGAATGAATATTGTTAAAATATCCATACTTCCCAAAGCCATCTACAAATTCAATACAATCCCTCAAAATACCATTTTACACAAAACTAGAAAAAAAAATCCTAAAATTTGTATGGAACCCCAAATACACAAAGCAATCTTGAGAAAGATCAAAGCTGTAAATATCATGCTCCCTGATTTCAAACTATACTACAAAGCTGTAGTAATCAAAACAGTATGGTACTGACACAAAGACAGACACATACATAGATCAACAGAATAGAATAGAGAGCCCATAAATAAACCCACATGTATATGGTCAATTAATCTACCACAAAGGAGACAAAAATATACAATGGGGAAAAGACAGTCTCTTCAATAAATGGTGCTGGGAAAACTGGACAAGTTACATGCAAAAGAATGAAACTGGACCACTATCTTACACCACATATAAAAATAAATTCAAAATGGATTAAAGACTTGAATGTTAAGACCCGAAGTCATAAAACTCTTGGAAGAAAAAGATGGGCAGTAAGCTCTTTGACATCAGGCTGAGCGGTATTTCTTTGAACAAATCTCAGACAGGGACAACAAAAGCTAAAATAACAAATAGGATTACATTCAACTAAAAAGTTTTTGCAGAATGAAGGAAACCATCAACAAAACAGAAAAGGCAACCTACTGAATGGGAGAAGATATTTGCAAATCACACATCTGATAAAGGATTAACATCCAAAATATATAAAGTTACACAATATTTAAAAAAAGGATTAAAAAATGGGCAGAGGACTTGAAAAGACTATTGTCAAAGACGACATACAGATGGCCAACAGACACATGAAAAGATGCTCAACATCACTAATTAACTATCAGGAAAATGAAAATCAAAGCCCCAATGAGATATTACCTCACACCGGTTAGAATAGCTATTATCAAAAAGACAAAAAAGACAAAAAGTAAGTGTTGGGAGAGGATGTGGAGAAAGTGTGGAGAGGATGTAGAGAAAAGGGAACTCTCAGACACTGTTGCTGGAATGTAAATTGGTGCAGCTACTATGGAAAACAATATGGAAGATCCTCAAAAACTTAAAAGCAGAATTACAATCCAGTAATTCCACTTCCAGGTATTCATCTGAAGAGAATGAAAACAGCAAATGAAGAAATATATGCACCCCTATATTCACTGCAGTATTATTTACAATAGCCAAGATATGGACGCAACCCAAGTGTTCATCAATAGATGAATGGGTAAAGAAGACGTGGTAAATATATACAATGAAATATTACACAGCCATAAAGAATGAAATCTTGCCATTCTCGACAGCATGGATGGACCCAGTGGGTATTATGCTAAGTGAAATAAGTCATACAGAAAAAGACAAACATGTACAACTTCTCCTGTATGTGGAATCTAAACAACAGAACAAAACAGAAACAAACTCATAGGTATAGGAAGCAAACTGTTAGTTACCAGGGTGGGGAGGGGCTGGGGAGCGGAAGAAACAGGTGAGGAGGATTAAGAGGCACAAAGTTCCAGTTATAAAATAAGTCAGTCATGGGGAGGTTACGTACTGCGTAGGGAATATAGTCAATAATATTGTAGGAACTTTGTATGGTGATCACGGCAACCGGACTTATCCTGTGGATTTCTTCATGTATAAAAATATCGAATCACTATAATGTGCTCGATATTGAATGTCAAGTATAGTTCAATTAAAAAACAAAGCACTCCTCACAGCAAATTTTCTCTCCACCACACCTCGAAGCTTTATTGTCCCAGTCTCTTCCTTCCCCATTCACAGCCTGCCTGCCTTTCGTCCCGTTTCCTCTCCACTCTTCCCAAACCCCATTTTTCACCCTCTGCAGGTTCCACTCCCACGAGCCTCAGAATTCCCAAAGCTGTTCCTTTCTCGGACCCCGACTTGACCTCCACCTCCCCCTTCTCCCTCCTCCAGGCCCCAACCCCTCCTCCAACACCCTCTCACGCCCCCACGTCCCACCTGCACTCTCCGCCGCTTCAGCGCCGCCGCGTCCAGCCACACGCCGCAGGCTTCTTCCTCAGGGTCCCTCCGCCTCATGGTCGCTGCGGAGACCCAGCCAACGTCCCGCCTGGCTCCCGCTCCCGCTCCCGCCGCCTCACCGAACGGCTATAACGGCCTCCACGGACGTTCGGATCTCGCGCCAACGCCGGGGGCGGAGCTACGCCGCCGCCGCCGCCGCCTCAGGCACCGCCCCAGCATCAGCCCCGCCCTAGCCCGAGCCCCGCCCCTCCATCTCAGCCGGTGGCCTCACCGGGTCGTCTGGTGGGTGGAGCACCTTTCGGTTTACCAAGGCCTTCACGTCCCTTGTGATCTGCGAATTCCAGAGTTGCCTTCCCGCGATTAGCTGTGTGAACGTGTTCACGACATTGCACAAGGAATATGCGTTTCTTTTCGCTAAGTTAGTTACACCTTCTTGCTGTAAACATAACTACCCCGGGCTCAGGGTTTTCCAGTTTCACAGCTACATCCTCACAGTCATCCCAAAAGGAAGGGTGGAGCCAAGGCTGCGGTCCGCCAACTCCAAAGTCGGCGTCCCCAGCACTACCCTAAGTGGTAACCATACACTAGAGTTTATGAATTACTTTTGAATTAAAAAAAAAAATCCAAGCATAACTATGAAACCGCATGGGAGAAGATTTATAAAACGCTAAAAAGGGGGCGCCCGGGTGGCTCAGCGGGTTAAGCGTCTGTCTTCTGCTGGGTCATGATCCCAGCCAGGGTTCTGGGATGGAGCCCCAGCTTCGGCTCCCTGCTCAGTAGGGAGTTTGCTTCTCCCTCCCCCTCCCCCTACTCGTTCTCTCTCTCTCTCAAATAAAATATTTTTTTAAAAAGGGGTGGGGCGCCTGGGTGGCTCAGTCGATTGTGTCTGCCTTTAGCTCCCGTCATGATCCCTGGGTCCTGGGATCCAGCCCTGCGTTGGGACCCCTGCTCAGCGGGGAGCCTGTTTCTCCCCTCTCCCTCTGCAGCTCCCCCTACTTCTGCTCTCTGTCTTTAAAAAAGAAAAGAAAAAGGTTAAAAATGAAACCTAAAAATTTGGAGTCCCAGGTTTGTCAGCTCCCAAAACTATCTCCTAGTCCTGCCTTCACAGCTTAAGCGAGACCCTGGATTTTAAAGAGGATCAAGTGAGGTAAAGTTTGTGAAAGCTCCTCAGAAATGCAGAAGTGCTGGCATCCCACTCATCGTTCATCCCTAACCACAGTCCCCATAGATGTTCTTTATATATGTATATAAGCCATATACATATATATGTAGACAGGATATTTTTTCAAAGATTTTTTTATTTTAGAGAAAAGAGTGGGGGCTGGGGCTGAGGGAGAATCTCAAGCAGACTCCCTGAGTGTGGAGACCCACGTAGTGCTGGATCTCACAACCCTGAGATCATGACCTGAGCCAAAATCAAGAGTCCAACATGCTTAACTGACTGAGTCACCCAGGTGCCCCTATAAACAGGATAGTTTAGCAATAGAGTGATTTTTTTTTTAAAGATCTTTTTATTTATTTATTTGACAGAGCACACAAGCAGGGGAAGCAGCAGGCAGAGGGAAGAGCAGACTCCCTGCTGAGCAGGGAGCCCGATGCGGGGCTGGATCCCAGGACCCTGGGATCCTGACCTGAGCTGAAGGCAGACACTTAACTGACTGAGCCACCCAGGCGCCCAGCAGAGTAATGTTTTTTATTCACTTGGGTTTTTTTTTTCTTATCAGTACTTCCTAATTTTCCTTCACTGTACTGTGGAAAACTGTATTATAAACTGTACTGTGGAAAAGCAGATTATAAAAATTAACATATAAAATCCTTCTTGATTGAAGGAAAGACCCAAAAATGAAATCTTTGTCAAATTATAAAGTGGGCTTATGTAAAATTTTACACATTCCTTTAACTTCTAAAACTTATTTGGTAATAAAACTGCCCTCCCTTCCCTGCCAAAAAGAAAAAGTTCATATACATAGTGTATAAGGCCCCCAACCACCCCCAGGCAAAGAAAAAACACACACTGCCTTCCTCCTCCCTGTTCCCACCCCTGGGGGCCCCAGCACGCCCTGGAAAATCTCAACATGCTAAGCAGGTCCATGGGGGCCCCAGGGCCCCATTCCTGGGACAGGAGGCAAGAAGCAAAGAGGCTGCTCTTAACAGTCCTTTATTGCATCCAGGACATATCGGAGTCCAGACCACCCCCACTTCCAGTGCCGCTGAACTCCCTTCAGTACATCTTTGGCCTTTGTACAGGCTTTTCCCTCTGCCTGGAACGCCCTTCTTCATCTGCAAACTCCTATTCACCCTTCCCAACCCAAGACCGTGAGGGTCGCAGGCAGCATTATTCCTCCTTGGTGCTTCCCCTGACAGGTCATTCCCATATTAAAGCTCTCATCCTGCATTGATCCACAGGACTCAGCTGGTAGCCTGCCTCTGAGCAGAGGCCCAGGAAACACTGAAATGGATAACTGAATCATGGGCAAGGAAACCAGGAGAGAGGCTGGGAACAGGATGTGTGAGTCACAGAGGCCAGAGCTAGAAAGGCTGGGGCTCACTGTGTGGGACGGTGACTGAGGGGGTATGGGCACTGGGTGGGATCCATTTCTCCCTAGCACAATCTTCTACTTTTGGAGACTGTGGAACTCCAAAACTCCAGGCTAGAACTCAAGGGATGGTACATACATTTGGGGCCTGCCCCTTCCCTATCCACCAGTGAAATCTGGCGGGGGGCAGGGGGTTGCTGAGGCCTCTTCTGCCCCTGGCCTAAAGTCTACTTTCACCCCCTCCCAGATAATCTGGAAGCTCCCAACCAGGGTCCTGGCCCCCGCTGACCCCCGATCCTCACCCCTAGTGAGAGGCAATGGGGAGAGGCAAGCCTGGTCGGCGGCCCGCATCTTTATCTCTTTTCCTCTCCCAGGGCAGGGGGCTGGGGCAGGCCCAGGAGTGGACCCCAGCAGCTCCTGGCCAATCCAGCAGCTCCTGGCCAATCCCCAAATCCAGGGACTGGCCAGTACCGCCTTTGGCAGCTGAGGCGTGCACAGAAAGTCACCACAGGCCAGACACAAACAACTTTACCAGGCCTTGTTCCCCTCTGGAGCCAAGCCCGGACCCCGGGGCTCCCACTCTACCTCCCTCCCTTACCAGCCGCCACCCCACCCCACCCCGCCCCCAGCCCTTCACTGGGTCTTCTGGTCGAGTTTGCGCCGCACCAGCCGGCTCAGGATGAATGCCGTCAGCACACTGCTGCCCACGGTGAGCAGGAAGAGGCCGGAGAAGTTGTGGGGCCAGCGGGTGTGCAGAGGCTCGTAGATGGGCCGCCGGGCCTCGTAGTCCAGGGCCACAGCCTCCAGCTGAGCCAGCGTGCACAGCACCAAGAACACGTGGAAGAGCTGGTGGCCCTGCCCAAAGAGGTGGCAGCTGCCAGGAAACCAGCGCTCGGGCATGAAGGCTGAGAAGAAAGCGGCGGCCAGCAGGAAGAAGACCACCTGGCACTTGTGGTAGAGAAGGGCCGGGTCATCGGCGGTCGGCTCGGGGGACACCAGGATGCGGTGCGCCACAGGGCTGATGTCCAGCGCGTAGGCCAGCGCCGACGGCACCTCCTGGCAGGTGCGGCCCAGCAGGCCGGGCTTCTGGCTATACTTGTTGTAGCAGGAGCCGGTGCAAGACAGCCAGGCGAGAAAGGCAGCCGTGGGCAGGAAGACGGCCTGCACTCGCGCGTGCCAGGCAGGCTCGATGGCGTAGTAGAAGTGTGCCAGGGCGCTGCCAAACTGGTACACGGCCACGCCCACGTAGTCCAGGAAGAAGAAGCTGTAGTGCCAGAACTCGGACTTGGCCTGCAGGAGATGAGCCAGGGCGCTGAGGGAGAGGTAGGTGAAGGAGGCAAGGACAATGATGAAGAGGGGCAGGGCGTGGGGGTCTCCCCAGAAGTCCACGGTCCCCACAAAGATGGCCAGCCGCAGCAGCAGCACCAGCGCTGCCAGCAGGTGGGTCCAGACGTTCACCGCCTCGTTGTGCTGCTGGAAGAGCGTGCGGAAGTAGAAGCGCCACGTCTGGTGCAGCGGCCGGTAGCCCACGTAGATGTACGGCTTCCAGAAGAGGGGCGGCACCTCGGCTCGGGCCACCGTGAACACGGGCTCTGGCCGCCCGGAGGGCTGCGGCTCCCGGTGGGCCTGCCGCAGAGCGGGCAGCAGATGGCTGAGCTTCTGGGCCACCATCGTGGCCATGGCTGTGGGCCAGGCCGGGAGCTGGGAGAGAGGCCAGAGCAAAGTCAGGGTGCCCTGGGCCACCATGAGCAGCAGCTGGGAGGCTCTGGAGCCCAGTTCTCACTCCCTCCTTCCCGCCCTCTTTATCCCCTACACTGAGTTTCCGAAGAGAGGAGTCATCCTAAAGAAGATCGCAGCTCTGCCCCCACGACTGTTCCGCCCTGATGCATCCCAAGTGCCTAGAACCGTGCCTGGCATGCCGTAGGTGCTCAAGCAATGCTTGAGGAATGAATGGAGGTGGCTCACTACCTCAGCCACTTCCATTCCAGTCCAGGTCCACACGGCAGCTCCTGCTGCTTTCTCCTATGTTCGTGTCGCCATCTGTGTTCACCTGCCGGTGACAATGACCTAGGTAACAGAACCACCGCCTCTACCTTTAGCCCCTTCGGAGTGGCAGGGTCCCCCACTGACCCTCCATCAGCCTCCATGATCTGGTCCCTGCTACCTTTTCCTGCCCTATTGCTCAGCCACAGTGCACTTCCAACCCAGCCACAGCCTCACCACACCCCTGAGCCTGTTTCACATGTCCGGAGGTTTATACAAGCTGTTCCTTCTGCCTGAGACATTTTCCTCCTCTTGCCTACCTGGTAAACTCCTACTCAACCCTCAAAACCCATTCTTCTGTGACACTTTCCCTGGCCCCCTGAACCTCTGATGATGACTTCTCTACTTGAATGCCTACCATAAGATACCCATCCTTTGACCATCGTAACATTTCTCATGGGCATTAAAATCGTTAATGTGAGCTCACAAAGGGTAGGCAGTTAGTCTCATTGTTTTGTGAACCCGCAGTGCTTTGCAGGTAGCTGGCATTCAGTATTTGTTGAATCAAAGAGCACAACAGCATCCCGATAACACTTCATACATTTAAAGTCCCCAACTCAAAAAGCCACTTTTTTCCCCTGGAAGTCCCCAGTTAACAACTGATTCTGTAAAAACAGCCCTTTCCCTCAGCCACACCTCCACTCAAAACATCCCTCCTCTAGGCTTTCCACTCCCACCCACAGCTGCTAATTCCAAAGACATCAAATCTAACCCTTCACCCTGCCATTCAAGACCCTGCTACTACCCTTATTTCCCACCTAACCCAATATCACACTGTTTATTACACTCTATTTCCCTCCCCTGAAATCCTTTAGGGCCAGTTCAAACTGCCACTTCCAAGGGACCTCCTTACTGCCCCTGCCCTGTCTACTCCCCTTGTATAGGTTATATAATGTACCATAAAAAACATATTCATTCACTCATTCATTTGTTCATTTAGCAAACACTTACTGAGCCCCTCCTCTGCCTCAGGTCCTGTGCTGGGTCCAGGGGAGGGCAGAGAGGAAAAAGATTTAATCCCTGCCCCCAGGACTTCATGGTATGGTGCAGATTATCGAAAGGAAAACAAATCATAGCAAATGTTTATACAGTACTCACTATGTGCCAGACACCGTTTCAAGCCCTTTATGTATAACTGACTCATTTATGCTTCATAACGCCCTGTGAATAGGTACTATCATTATTCCCATTTTGCAGATAAGGAACTGAGGCACGGACATGTTAAGGACCCTGCCCACCCACCTAGCTAGGCAGAGGCACAGTCTGGACTCAGTTTGCGATCTTAACCACTACCCTAAACTGTCCTTCGCAAGACAAGGTGACAAGTGCTATTAATCATTTCATAGTTATATACTTTCTATACAGTTTTGCCTGAAACCAGTTGCTTAATTCAGCTTATCATCATTCACTGTGTCATTCGCTAAATCAAGTATCTATTAAAACACCTGCCAGACAACTCCCATCCCTCCAATGAGCTTACTGGACTCAGCATCCTGATTTTCTGTCCCTCTTTCATCAGATATTTATTGCAACTACCTTTGCACCAGTCATTGTAAGAGGCCAGGAGATCTGGGCAGGCTAAAGCTCTCATGTTTCTGCCACCAGCAGCACCCTAATCACCCCCAAAGCCCCCCCCAATAATTTACACACAGTCCAATAAATGCAGGGAGCTTGCCATGTGAAGGCAGTATCAGGACAAGCCCCCAGCCCACCCCCCTCCCCATCCTAGCCTGACCTGCATCCCTAAGCGCCCCCTGCATTACACTTCTCAAGTCAGCTCTGGTCTCTGGCCTCTCCTAGTCCAGTAAGGAGGCAGGAGTTAAACAAGTCACTACAATACTGCACAAGGGATGCTTTGGACGGAGGTGGGGCAGGACTCTCCCACTTCCCTTCCCCAGACAGCATGGCACAGGTCAGGTGTAGGAAGCAGACCTTGCTGGCTGCTTCCGTCCATGAGGACCACCTGGCCTGCCTTGCTAGTGGGGGAGCCAGCACTGGAGGTCTTCTCCTCCTCAAGAGGCTGGGCTTCAGCCTCTACCCTTGCCTACAACTTTGGCTTTCCAACTCAGAACCTCAGGAAGCCAGAAAAGGCCTCTGAAGGTGTCTCATGCAGCACCTTTGTTTTACACTGAGAAAATAAGAGCCCAGAGACAGGAAGGCCTTCCCCGGCGTTGCCCAATCCGGCAAGGTTTCCATTCCACCACAGGGGAAAAGACCAGGGAATGATAACGTGCGATGGTGGCCTAGTTCCTGGGTCCCTATGATCCATTAAATCCAGTCCAAGGCTCCATATCCCACTCTTAGAACTTTCCAAGTCATAACAGGCTATTAAAGGCTCTGAGAAGTCCTGCAACAAAGAAGCCAGCTTTGCTTTGTTGAACCTCCATTTGTCAAGCCTACCTGACCAAGGATTCCTTTCCTAGGAATAATTATATTGTAAAGCCAGCTGAAATGTGTGCTTACTATATGCTTACTCTTTATAGCCTTGTTGCAATTAATTCTCATCACTAGCCTGCTGAGGTAGGTATTATGCCCATTTTCTTTTTGAGGATAGTGAAACTCAGAGAGGTTAGGAGCTCCTCCCCATCTGCATTCCACAGAACTACTTTGGAAGATAATGGTCTAAAGCAGGTAGCCAAGGCCTTTCCCATAAATTATTTCCTTAGTCTTCTACCAACTGACACGCACCCGGGGACCACAGCGTCCCCACGTTACCAGCCACCCCCTGGCTCTACACCAATGACGCCCTAGCTCACAGCCACCTCCTCAGCTGGTGAGAGCGCCCTCAGGGCCCTTCTCCTCCACCAGACACCTTGGGGCCTAAGCACAGAACCCAGAGGCTACATACTGGGGTAAAGAGATCCTGCTCCCCTACCTCCTGTAGACCTCACCCAGGGGCCCTATTCCATCTGGATACGTCTATTTTCAGAATTAGTTCCCATCTCCTGACTCCATGGAAAGGGGCCCCTGAATCCAGGGGAAAGGAGCAGGTGCAGGGGTCCAGCCTGAGCTGAAAGGAGGGTAGGTATCCAGAGACCACCCTCAGAGAATCCTCAGAGTCATCTGCCCAACAGGCTGCCAGGACCTGCCTGTTTCGGGCCACCCTCCACGGCCCCTCTCCGAGCCTAGGTTACCTAGGGGTTTTCCTCGAGCCTGGGGGCCGATGGCTTCCGCTGTGGGACTGGGCAAATTCACCAGATGCCAAGCACTGGGTGGCACTTCCACAGGTGAGGGTCACTAGGGGCGGGGCTTCCAAGGGTGGGAGGTGTCTTGTGTGATGTCACCAGAGGGTGGGGCTAAAGAAAACCTCCACCTCTCCCTTCCCACCCCCCACCATCACCATTCCCACACTGGTCAAATCCCAGCTAAACGTTGCCCTCCTAGCCAGGCCTCAGCTGTAGAAGGAAGCTCAGCATTACCCTCCACATGAAACGTCTGGGGAAACCCAGGGCTGGCTAAAAAGTTGTGACTTACCCAAGATTCACACGGCAAGACGGGCAAAGCTGGGCTGAGACCAGGTGACCAGGGCCTGGCTGATGGATGTCAGGCAAACTTGACTGGCTTCTGTCCCTACTCACCAGGAATCATAATGGAAAGAAGTTAGAAATAAAGAAGAAAGCGGACACCGGAAAGGCTCATGAAGGAGATGGACTTCAGATTCAGAAAAACCAGGTCTGACACCTGCTTCCATCACATGCTATAGCTGTGTGACCTAAGACTAGTGACTCATGTTCTCTGAGCCTTAGCTCCCTCGTGGGAATTATAATATTATCTATAGCATAGATGGCTGTAAAGATTAAACTCATTAGAATAAAGTTTTCATACAGTTTAGGGACTCGATAAATGATTGCTATTATTATCAACTATTAATAGTAGTAGTAACTAATTATTATTAACAGTAGTAGTATTTGAATTATCCCCAGCTTGAGTAGTAGTATTTGAAATATCCTCAGCCCTAGAGATTTGCTTGGCATCATCTTAAACAACTGTCCTCTTTTAGCCCTCAGGAGCTGGTTCCACTGGGTTTGAGGGCTTTGGTGAACTGTGTCTCTTGCATAGTTTACCTTTCTCTGAGGACACATGTAAGGACCAGGGAAATTTGGCTGGAGTTTGAACTTCTAGGGACACTGATCTTTTTTTCTTTTTTTAAAGATTTTATTTATTTATTTGAGAGAGAGAGAATGAGAGAGAGAGAGCACATGAGAGGGGGGAGGGTCAGAGGGAGAGGCAGACTCCCTGCCGAGCAGGGAGCCCGATGTGGGACTCGATCCCGGGACTCCAGGATCATGACCTGAGCCGAAGGCAGTCGCTTAACCAACTGAGCCACCCAGGCTCCCTAGGGACACTGATCTTATTTCATAATTGAATTCTCCTCAGCATAGACCATTCAGAGTAACCTCTCTGGGTCCAAAGAGCCCTGAAGATTTGCACTTGTGCCGCACAGACCCAAAAGAGGTGGCTGGGAAGTGAAACCACCAGGGAAAGGGTCTCAGCTGCAGCTGCTCCATCCCCCAGTGGGAGGGTCGAAAGAGTAGACCATGCCAGCAGGTGATCCAAAAGGCATGTGGCCTGGCCAGGGCATGTCTTGCAGGTTTGAGAGGCTTCCAGGTTGGCTGAGCCTCAGCCCTGAGATCTCCAGGGCCCACGTGGGAGCTCCTGTCAATTCGAGAAGCTTGGTCCTCCTCTGCCCTCCCACCTCCCGTTCCCCTTTCCTAAACACAAGGTCAACCTCTTCACCTCGATCCTCAATCCAGGCTTGCCCCAGTTCCTCCACATCTCTCCCTGATACACTTTGCCAAAGAGTCCCCTAAATACCTGGGGGGCAAAACAGATGACCAGGTTGTAGGGATGGGGCAATAAATGGGTTTCGAGGGGTGCCTGGGTGGCTCAGTCGATAAGCGTCTGCCTTCGGCTCAGGTCATGGTTCCAGGGTCCTGGGATCGAGCCCCGCGTCACTCCCTGCTCAGTGGGAGCCCTGCTTCTCCCTCTCCCACTCCCCCTGCTTGTGTTCCCTCTCTTGCTGTGTCTCTCTTTGTCGAATAAATAAATCTTAAAAAAAAAAAAATGAGTTTCGAAGTGGGAAAGCCTCCGGTTTTACCCATCCCATTGAGTTTAGTGCACATGACAGGCCACAAACTACAGAGCTGGGCACAGGGTGAAGCAAGCAGACAGACTCCCTGCCCTGACAGGGCTCACCCACACAAACGAAATGCCTACGGGCTAAGAAAATCCAGTCCTGAGAGAAGGCACTGCAGGTGGTGATTGCGCAGCACTGGAGAGAGCCGACGCCCCAAGGGAGGGTGCCTACCACTCGCCTCGGGCAGACTATTTCAAAGAGAAGCCAGGTCCCCATTTTTATGTGAGGGTGGGATTTCAAGTCTGACATATATCGGCTGTGTGACTTTTTGCTTTTAAGTCCCTTAACCTCTCTGAGCCTAACTCTTCATTCATAATCGAAGGATAGTAATAGCTACCCCTTGGGCTCTTGTGAAAGCAAAACAAAGTTATAGATGCAATGTCGGCTCTGGCACAGGCTGGCTCTGCTATTTCTGTTGGGTTCGAGTCTTGGCTCAGCCATTCAATCCCTGTGGGACCTTGGACAAGTCCATTCCCCTCTTGGCCCTGTTTCTCCAAATGTCAAAGGACAGAATGAATTTACCAGTAACGTCAAAGGGCCCTTCAGGACCTGAGATGGTCCAATACTTGTTTCAGGCCGACTATGTGCCAGGGGCTGGAGCTTCAGCAGTGAACAAAACCGTTAAGACACTTCCCTCATGGAGCCAACAGCCCAGCTAACTACCAGCTAAGGGTAAGAACTAAGGGTATTAATACCCTGCCCTCTCGGAGCTTAATAGCCTAACTAAAAAAACGCCTATTATGAGTATTAATTGGTTATAATTCCATTTTCTCTCTTGCCTCCATCTTGGCATGCAAAAATACTCATTGTTGCTTCTCTGGGTCCTGATTGTTCAGCACACTCCCTTAAAGAAAACTTTATCTTGCCATAGAAGACAAAGTCTAACCTCAGATAAAAAAAAATTGTAAGGCGGGGGGACACCTGGCTGGCTCAGTAGGTAGAGCACGTGACTCTTGATCTCAGGGTCATGAGTTCAAGCCACATGTTGGGCCTGGAGCCTACTTAAAAATAATAATCACAATAATAATAGTAAGGCCAGACCTGTGTTAACACAGGAGTTGTTAGAGGTAGTATTCTTGAGGGATTCTGACAAGGACAATACCATATAAGAGCCCAAAATATTATCAATAAGATTAGGCACTAACATTGGTAATTTACAGTGGCTTGCTGTTCACAAAGAACTTTCACATGCATTTCAACTCTCCCTCAAAGCAACTCTGAACCTCCATGTAAGCTGGTGTCACAGCCCAGGAGGCAGGATGGCCAGACACAACATCTGACTCCCAAACAAGTGCTCTTGCCCTTCATCTACTGTAGTCAACTCCCAGGCATCCAGTGGGTGGCCACAGATTACATAAGCAAAGTTTTCATCCTGGCTGGCCTCCCGATCTCCCAGCAACTGGGTCACCTCCCTCAATGCAAACCAATTCCCAAACTCGGCAGAATGTGTTTAAGAAAAAGTTCTTCCACTTCTTCCAAAACTGAACAGAAATAATTTTTGTTTTTTGTAACTGCACCCCCGGGCCTCCATTTGTAATCAGAATAGAATAAATAAGTCAAAGGAATTCTGTGGAACTCAGATTCACTAATGCTCTGAGGACAAGGAAGAAGAACCTGTAGGAAGAAAGCAATCTCAGAGAGGCTGGGTGAGCTGGCTACTGTCACCCAGCACGGGATGGAAAAGTGACCCAATTTTCACCTCTGGCCAGCAAGGGCCCCTCTAGTCACAGAAACTGAGGCTGGAGTGGGGCAGCCTCTCACCAAGGGGTTCTGAGGTGGCACAAGCCCCTTGACGTGAGGCTGGAACCCTCTCCCACAGGAGCTACAACATAAGGTCCCGGGCCATCCAACCAGGTGCAGCCAGGCTCTGGGAATCCATCAAACTCTCAAACTCGCCAGCTGTGACCTGACCAGTCCCCTCACTCAAGCCAGGCCTGCACCGGCCGCCCCAGGGAAACCCCTCTGGGGGTCCTCATAGCCTGCAGGCTTGAAGCAAATGTTATGGGTGGTGTGGGGCTCCCTCCCCTTCCCCTCACTGGGTAGGGAAACCTCCATGCTTTCCTGACACCACGACAGGCTTCCCCATCCCAACCGGCCTAGGCGTCCCCCAAGTGGGACCCCCTCACATCATCCAGTTCCAGGTAGTCGCGCGCCTTGTGCCCCCGGAGTCTCCCTAGAGTCCCCCGCAGGGGGAGCAGCGAGCCCCCGGCCTCTCCCCCTCCCCGCCACCGCCGCTCGCCCAGGCCGGCCGGCCGCCCTGCCCACTCCCTCAGATGTGCTCCGTTCCAGCGGGTCCCCCAGGATCCTCCCGCTCTCACCCGGGGGTGCTCCGGCTCCGGCCCCGCGGCCCCGCCCGTCCTCGCCCCCTGAGCGCGCGCCCGCCGCCCCCGGAAGCACCCCTGCGCCCGCCGCCCGCCCGCTCCCCTCTCCCCAGCCCTGTACCTACGGCGGGGCGAAGCGCGGCGGCGGGATCGGCCGGCTGGGACCCTCGGGCCTCGACGTCCCCGGCGACAGGCAAGCAGATAAAGGGGCGGCCGGTGGCTCCGCCCTGAGGCGGGCGGGGGGCGGGGCGGCGGCCGCGGCGGCGGGCGGGAGGGCCGCGGGGGCAGGGCCTCCCCCCCCCGCCACGCCCACGTGTTGCCGGCGGAGGCAGGGGGGCGCTCCCACCCCCGCGACCACGGGGTCGTGGGCGTTCCTGTGGCCATCGTGCAGTAAGATGGAGGAGACGGGAGTCCCGGAGAGCAGAAGCGGTTGCCCAAGTCCCCCGGCTGGGCGGCAGCGCTGCGGACGCTCCAGCGGAGTGGGTCCTGCTTCCGCAGACTGGGAGCACCAGCTCCGGAGTCCGGGTGGCGGACTGGCGGGCGCCGGGCAAGTTGTAGCAGGAGCGCGGACTGGTTTGCCACGAAGCCACGAGGATCCACACATGCCACCGCGCACTAGGCTACTTCTGGTCGAGATGCGCCTGGCCTTCCCCATTTTCATCTCTCTGCCCGGGGAGCCCCACCCCGCCTTCTACACCCCTGTCTTATTCCGTGGGCCGCTTCCCCTGCGAGCGGCCCAAGGCATGGTGTTTGAACCTCTATTAAAACACCCACTTTCTACTCCCTAGTGTAATATCTCCCCCGAGTTGAAGCACCCAAAGGGTGAGGGATCCCTGCATAGAGAAGGCCCTCAGCACAGACTGACAGGGATTGTCCGCTCCTCTGGCCCTGGACCAGGCAGAGTGGGGAGACACCTCCACCCCAGCTGGGGCACACACAGCCTGAAGGATGCGGAGCTGAGAGGGGACAGTCTAAGAAGGGACACTGATCCGCCCTCAGGGAGCTTCGAGTCCATTCCGAGAGACGGTGTGGGGTGTGGGCATGATGACAGGATCCAAGTCCCGGTGCTACCCCCAACTCACCATGTGATCTTGGGCAAGTCTTTTTCTCGGCCTCAACTTTATTACCTATGAAATGGAAGTAATAATACCTGACAGGTTGTTAGGAGAATTAATAAAACAATGGGTATGAAGGTTCTTCATCAACTGCAATGACTACTAGAGGAATGTGTATTTCCTTGATATATTATAACAAAACATATAAAATCATAATCATAATAACCCTAAGAATTAGTTAAATCTCTATTACCCATGTGGATAGAAAAAGTGGCATAGAAGATCCAATCATTTGGAACAAGTAGGGTATGGGAAATGAAAACAAGTAAGGACATTATGGAAATTATATTCTATATGATAGAATATATTCTATCATAGTGAATAAAAATTTAAAACTTGGAAGATGACTTAGTCTCCTCTTCCAGTTTTGGAACACCTGCTCTGTACTGGACATGTTTTTAAAGCTACAGTTAAAAAATATAAAAATTAAAAAATAAAGTTACAGTTTATTAAGCTCTTGCCATGCGCACTAATAGTCGCCAAACCATCTCCTTTGAGCCAGACAACCCTGTTAACCCATTTTACAAATTGGGAAACTAAGGATCAGAAAGGGGACATGGGCTTTAAAAAAAAAAAAAAAGGGCGCCTGGGTGGCTCAGTTGGTTAAGTGACTGCCTTCGGCTCAGGTCATGATCCTCAAGTCCCGGGATCGAGTCCCACATCGGACTCCCTGCTCAGCAGGGAGTCTGCTTCTCCCTCTGACCCTCCCCCCTCTCATGTGCTCTCTCTCTTTCTCATTCTCGCTCTCTCAAATGAATAAATAAATAAAATCTTTAAAAAAAAGAAAGAAAGGGGACATGGGACTGTTATGTTATCTCATTTAGGCTCATCCATTCCTACAAGTTGGGTGAGATGACCCCCATTTTATGGATAGAAAAACTGAGGCCCGGAGGGGAGAAATGATGTATTCCAGGTCACATAGCTCCCGATGTATTTAGGCTCTGAGAAATGGATCTGGAGGTGTGCTTAGGGGAGAAAAGTCACTTGACCCTGAAACATGGCTGTGGATATTTGAGAGCTGAATGATAAAAATTTTAAAAAGTAGGAACAATGCTCAGTCATGGAGCACTTGCCATGTGCCCGGCCCAACGCAAAGCCCCTTCCATGCACTATAAGCCCACGAGGGTGTTGTTTCCTTATCTCATTTCATGGATGAGGAAACTGGTTCCGGAAGATGCTACTTACCCAAGGCCACCCAGTAGGCTAGTGGCAGGCCTGGATCCCGGCCTTGCTCTTATCTGCTACACAGTACTGGTAACAAGGAGTGAAGCTGTGGGGCCAGGACAATTGCTTCCCTATCCGGCTGTGACCCAACTCCTTTTCCAGCCCAGGGCAGCTCCCTTCCCTGCTGTCCCCCAGCTCAGCCACCTGAGTGAGGCCCAGTGACTCCATTGCTCCAAGAGCCCAGAGCTCTGTAATCCTTTGAGTCCAGACCCTAGAAGAGGAACATGGGGAACCTATCCAGTAAGCTGTGCATCATCCAGCTGCCCTCCCAGATGCCGGGTTCAGCTGTTAGAGGAACAAGGTCTCCGGGAGACCAGATTCCTGGGCAGACCTAAAGAGTCAAAAGGCCTCAGAAGTCTTGCTCTGAGCGAGGAGACCATCAGGAAGGACTTCAGTGCACCCAAAGTAAGAGAAGGATGTGGGGCCTGACTGTTCTGAACACATTCTTATCTTTTCCCCAAAACAAGGGCATCCATTCTTTGGGGGCAGCAAAGCAGTAAAAGCACCTGACTGTATTGTGCCTGGGTTCACACCTTGGCTCTGACACTTAACCCCAGGCAAGTTATGTCGCCTCTCTGGATATCTGGTTCATTCATCCTAAAACAGGTTAGTACCCTCCATTTAGGGTCAGCATAAAGAGTAAATGAAATCACGTATGTAAAGTACTCACAGCGCCGGGCATATCGTGCTATTGCTCTAGTTCAGTTCTTTACTCCCTCCCTTTGCCAATAAGGAAGAAAAATAAAGCCTTGTTGTAAGCCCCCAATGCTGAGCTGGTTTTTTACACAGCATTACTGCAGCAATTCCTGACTCATACACATAGCAGAGCCAGGATGCAAAGGCAGGGGTCTGACCCAAGACCACAATTTCAGCTGTGCGTGGTGTGGGGAGGTGGGGGGAAGGGGGGGCAGCGCAGGGGACACTGATTGCCTACAGAAGTTCTCTGCCTGAAGTCCGCTTGGAGTGAGTCTTACAGGATGAGGAAGGGTTCTCTGAGCCGTGAGGAGGGAAAGAACTTTCCAGACAGTGGGAACACCATGTGCAAAGGTACGGAGGTGTGAATGGTAGGGTAGGTTTAGGGAAGGAGCCTTCATGTTCTAGGGCTGGAGCAGAGGGGGCCTGGGGGCAGCGGGTGGCATTTGAAAGGTAGCAAGAGGCTAGAAGGAAGAGAGCCTTGCCCTGGTGGGAGGGCCTTATCCTGAAGGCCATGCGGATACCGGAGGCAGAGATTAGAGAGGGGGGTGGGATGGGGTAAGGGGGCTTCAAGGAGACCAGTTGGAGAGGTGGGGGGTGTCCCCTGGGACTGCAGGGACCGGTATCGGACTCCTGCCCCAGAATCCCGAAAGGGAAGGGTTGGCAGTAGAAGCAGAAGACAGTGGTGGGAGGTAGCTGACTGTGTTTGCAGGGACGTAGGCCGCAGGGGTGTGCTGCCCCCAGGCCGGAGCTGCCCTGCAGGAGACGGGCAGCCTGAGCTCCAGCCCAAGGAAGTCTCCTGCAGGGGCCAGGAGGCCTCAGCACAAAGAGGCTGGAGGGGCCCTGGGGTGTCCTGGGATTGGGGGGAGCCATCGTAAACAGCCGGCCCTCCTCAAGGGATCCCCAGATGAGGCCCCACGGTGACTGTCCCCAGCAAGGCAAACACACAAGAGTGGCCCGTCAAGGTGTAGCTTCAGCAGGGGTGGGCAGCTCCACGCATGCCCACTCAGCCCCACTCCAAGCGTCTGCCAGGCAGGCCTCCACTCTCGGGCCTCTGGGCTCTCCTGGAAGCTGCAGCTCAGCCTGCTGGTTTAGGAACAGTCTATAAGTGCGGGCAGTTAGCGCCCTGAGAACGGCCCTCAGGCCCTCATGGAACTGCTGGAGAAAGCCCCAGCCTCCTCTTCAGAAGAAGACAATTCTGGGAGGCATTCGGTCTGCATCAGGCTTTCTGGAATCCAGGCTCCACCACCCAAAGCAGCAACCTGGAAGACACATCCCATCCTCCGTTGTGCTTTGCCTGCTTCCTTTGTCTCTCCCCCCACTCTCTTCTGCTTTCTGTGGTCACCTCCCAAACAAGCTACCCACACCTAAATCTCTGCCTTAGCCTCTGCTTTGAGGGAAAACCAGACCAAGACTTCCCAGACCCCCTCCCCCGAGCCCCCACCCCCCGAACCCCCCCCACCCCCAAGAAAAAGAGTCAGCTTTAAACACCTGCCGAGCCTGGAATGCTCAGGACAAGTATGGGGTAAGGCAGACCTTTCCTGAACCTGAAACCTTACTACCTCCCCGGTTCCCTCCTGGGCAGCCCTGGAGAGGCCAGAACCTCAGTGAGCAGCGGGGAAGGTGGGGCGCAGGCTCAAAGGGCAGAAATAAAGAAGCCAACCATGTTCTTCTCTCCTACTCCAGACTCCAAGTTGCCAACACGTTCCTACCTCTTGACCTTTCCACTTGATATTCCTTCTGCCCGGAACACACTTTGTCCCAGATAGGACTGGCATAATTTCTGAGGCCCAGTACAAAATGAAAATGCAAAGCTTTGTTCAAAAATTAAGAATTGCAATGTAGCAAGAGCAGAACATGAAACCAAGCAGGGGGACCCTCCTGACCCCAAGCTCCTATGTGACTGCATGGGTCACATGGCCAGGAAGCTGGTCGTAGCTCCCAACAGCTGAACTTCTGTCTGATGCCCCACTGCCTTCAGATGTCTGTTTCAATGTCACCTTATCCAATGGGGCACCCGGCTGGCTCAGTCGGTAAAGCATGTGACTCTTGATCTTGGGGTTGTACGTTCGAGCCCCATATTGGGTATAGAGATTACTTAAAAAATAAAATCTTGGGGCGCCGGGATCGCTCAGTCAGTTAAGCACCTGCCTTCAGCTCAGGTCATGATC